ACTTTATATTGTATGACTCGAGCGTGGCCGGAGAAGGGCAGCGGAGTTGGGGCAGGGTCTGGAGCACAGGTCTGCTGGGGAGCGGCTGGGGGAACTGGGGGGGTTCAGTCTGGAGAAGAGGAGGCTGAGGGGAGACCTCCTGGCCCTCTGCAACTCCCTGCCAGGAGGGGGCAGAGAGGGGGGATGAGTCTCTGGAGCCAAAGCCCCAGCGCCAGGCCCCGAGGGAATGGCCTCAGACTGCCCAGGGCAGGGTCAGGCTGGCTCTGAGGAAGGATTTCTGTGCAGAAGGGGCTGTTGGGCGTTGGAATGGGCTGCCCAGGGCAGGGGGGAGTCCCCGGGATCCCTGGAGGGGTTGAAGAGTCGGGCTGAGCCAGCGCTGAGGGACCTGGGGGAGTTGGGAACGGTCAGGGTGAGGTTCAGGGTTGGGCTGGAGGAGCTTCAAGGGCTTTTCCAACCCGGATGACTCTGGGATTCTGTTTGGGTACCAGGTTCTGGACGAGGCCTGTGTCTCGCTGAGGCACCAGGGTGGCAGCAGAGCAGGGCAGCCGCGGGCTGTGTCTCTGGTCATTCCTCCTCTGTGCCTTTGGCAGTGGGAAATGGCAGCTGCCTCGGCGTCGGAGGGGATGGTTGGTACCCTCAGCTCCCCAGCCAGGCTTAATTTTGAACCACAAAAGCTGTGAGGGATACGTTATCTGTAGTTGGGCCCAAGGGGGAAAACCTTTCCTTCAGAGCTACCAAGACCCCCTGCTTGTTTCCCCAGGCTGCAGACCTATTTATATCGCTGTTAACACACTCAAGAATTATGAGATTTTTTTTTTCAGCAGGGTGGGTAAAAAAATCGGGTTGTTTGATGCAAAGATTACAATCTTTAATTCCTCACACAGAGCAGAGAAACTCGATCAGTGATACTGGCACTGCAACTAATTTATTAATTGAGAAGTCTGAGCTGCCAGGGCCGGAGGAAAGAGTGACTCGTGTTGCTGATGGGCACAGCAGAGCGCTGGGCGAGGTGCTGGGGGGGCTGGCGGGGAGCCCACCTTGCAGGGATGAGGCCCGTCTGCCTCCGTGCTGCTCACAGGTGGGTGGGTTTCCAGAGCAACCAGCCAGCGGGCACGCAGATGGCATTAGAGTTTAATATTTAGTGGGGAGGTGTGCTGTGGAGGTGTGAATATGTCCCTAAATAGGCCGGCTCACATTTTTTCCTTCCATCACAGAACGCAAACACGTTTTTCCTTTTATTCTTGGCAAAGCAGGGAAACAGGTGGAAGATAAAAATAACCAGTTTTTGAGAACAGGCTTAGCATTAGTCATTTCCAGTCAGCCTAAGAAATACAATTTCATCTTGTATGTGCAAAGCGAGGGGCAATGGGCCCACCGTGGATGTGGGATTACCTGACAATAGCCATTTATGACCTCTGGTAATGAGTCATAAGGTACCAAATCTTGATGAATTGTTATTATCCTCCTGTTTTCCTGCTGGCAAGCACATCTGCATTGTGCTGCTCGGGCTCCAGAGCAGTGAATCATCTGTTCTTTCTGGCAAGTGAAACGGCTGTGCGTTACACAACTGCTCATTCAAGACAGAAATGAATTTATATCAACTGCCAGCAGTGGAACCAGAGAAGTTGTAAGTTTGAGGTTGCACTGGAAAAAATGAGATTACGGGAATTTCTCTGATATTTGTAAGATTAATTTGGTACCTCTGTTACTTCCCACTCTTACTTAACTGTAGCGTACTTTTACAGACCATTATACTCAATAATTATTGTTAACAGTGCAGCTGCTCTCTTTCTGAACCTGTGGCCAGGAAATTGCAA